AAACACTTCCCGGCCCTCGCAGCGAGAGAACATCCGGTTGGTAGAAGCCGTTATCGAAAGGGAGCAGCTCCTAAGATCAACTCTTTGTTTTACCGCCATGGAGATACTGTCAGACGATAAAATTTGCATTTAACTCAAGAGAATTTCGACGATACGCCTGACCTTTACCTGTATTTTTGTGCATTTTCTTCTATTTTTTACAGATTAGTTCTGTGATTTTCATTGCTATTACTGATGTAGAGGGTGTATTAAGTTCTTTGCAGAGAATGCTAGAAGATCTGGATAAAGCGCTACAAAAAGTGGAGGAGCATCAGATGACAATGGACGTGCTCGAAGTGTCGCATACACAGGAACGAGTGGAGGCATTGAAGAAAGACCTAGAAACGAGAAAACAAAAGGCTGCAAATGATCGAGAAGAATGGAAGAAATTGCAAAGCGTGAGTAATATTCTTCAACAACAAGTTTCAACAGGGAGTCGTATTTGAGTTGCTCGCAGAGGGATTCTTTTCGACTTATTGGAAGGGTTCTGTATCACTCTGAAAAGTGCAGTAGTAGTATTAGGAGGGGAGGGGGAACGGTCATGAGAATCGTTGTTGGCCGCGCCGCAGCACGCAGCGCATCTTGCTGTAGTAGGTGCTGCAGTTTGAGTAAGGCGGCCCGCAGCGGCAACTCTGAATCACGATCTCTCCAGTTCAGGTACTGCACAATTGGTGGAGAATAGGCTGGATTTGGCGCGGCTGTATCCTATTATCCACAAATTGTGGAAGCTAGCAGGCGACCACTACTGGAGAATAGGCTAACGGCGCGGCAAACCAAGCCTCTCTGAAACGTTCCAGCTTCCGAAGATAACAAGAATGCAAGGCTGTACCCCCCCCCTTCCTCCCCTTTTCTCCCTTACTTCCGCTATATACGATTTTTTTGGGGGAAACTGCTAAACTTTTTGAAAAATTGGTAGGAATGTGGAAGGACTTGGCAGAATGGCAATTATGATGGGAAAAAAGGAGTCGTACTGGGAGGGAAATCTTGGGTGTCATCCTGACACCACAGTTTCACCACCACTCCCTATGCTGTACCCTGGTAATGAGTTGTTTCAAGGTGAACCCATTTGAAATTGAGTTGCATAAGTTTACGAAGATATTTCTCGACTTACCCATCGAAGTGGTGAAAACCATCCTATAAAGCTATCCACGATTTCAGGTGTTATTCGAGGCGGAAAAAGGTGTCGCAATGGGTGACAAAGCGATGGATCGTTTCAGTGGACGTGAGACCAGTCCCTCGTTTGGAAGAACTCGAAGAACGACAGAAAAACGTCGAAGAGGTGAGGTCTTTCTTACTAAATGCATGTTCAGGGCCAAGGTATCTCCCACGCGGCGGGTGGCTCCATTTCATCTCTTACCCTATTCAGGTGGAAAACTCTTTTACTCGGAAATCGGGAAGAGCAGAATTCAAGGGAGAGGGAGGTTGGAAAGTGGATCAAGTCGTATCCCGATCTCCGAAGAGGAGTCCT